TGTGTATTTCTGTGTGTGTGTGTGTCCTTGGGCCCCTTCGCAGTAGTGGCCTCTGCGCCGCAGTAGATCCCCCGCCTGCCTCGGTCCTCCTCCCCCTCCTCCTCCTCCTCCCCCTCCTCCTCTTCCTCGTCTTCCTCCTCCTCCTCCTCCTCCTCCTCCCCTCCTCCTCCTCCTCCTCCTCCTCCTCCTCCTCCTCCTCCTCCTCTCTCCTCCTCCTCCTCCTCCTCCTCCCTCCTCCTCCTCCTCCTCCTCCTCCTCCTCCTCCTCCTCCTCCTCCTCCTCCTCCCTACCACCTCCTCCTCCAGTTCTGGGATGCACAACGTCTAGTGCTGTACTGCGCGTCGCCCCCTCTTGGCTCCCCAAAGGCACCCACCCCCCGCATAGGCCAACACACGTGGCCCAGGTCTCGCCCAAGACAGCCAGCCTTAAGTCGGGCCTGTCCCCCACACGGGTATTTTCGACGAAAAATAAAATATACCCCTACAATACCCAAAGAAGGTCAAAACATACCAGAACATGGTCCCCACACTAGTGTTGGATTATTTTTTGACTATGCTGGGGGTACTTCCCAAGCATAGTCAAAACATAGTCCAAACATGGGGACTAGTTGTTTGAGTATTGTTTGACCTTCTTGGGGTATTTGGGGGGTATATGTTTTATGTTTCGTCGAAACTCCCCCTGTATGGGGGACAGGCCCGACTCAAAAGCCAGCCCCAGCCCGTGGCCCAGGTCTCGCCCAAGACAGCCACAGCCTTACGTCGGGCCTGTCCCCCTACAGGGGGATTTCCTCGGGCCGGACGAAAGGGGGGGGATTGGGAAAGGGGGGGGTGCGAAATCTGCTGCATGCAGCTGGTTTCGGCCCCACCGAGGGGCCCATGCTTCGATACATCGTCGCCTCTGGCGCCGGGAGGCGCCGGGAAACTCAGCTACGTGAGCTGATTCTCAAACCCTTCCTTTGCTATCCCCCCCTTTCGCCCGACCCGATGTTCGACGAATTTGAAAAGTACCCAAGAATAGTCAAAACATAGTCCCAACATAGTCTGGGGACTATTTTTTTGAGTATTTGTTTGACCTTCTTGGGGTATGTTTGGGGTCTCTTTTTTATTTTTCGTCGAAAATCCCCGTATGGGGGACAGGCACGACTCAAAAGCCAGCCCCAGGAGGGCCCCCAGGGGGGGCCGAGATGCCTCTGGCCTCGCCCCGCCCCCAAAAAAGGCATCAGGGTGGCCCCGAGGCGGCGGGGACACGGTCGCACCCACCGTGCTGCGGCGGGGGGAGGGCCCAAAGCTTGGGGCGCCCCGCGGGGCCAGGGGCACTGCGTTGCCTTAAGTCGGGCGTGTCCCCCCCTCCCCTACAGGGGGATTTTCAACAAAAATGGAGAATACCAAAACATGCCTCAAACATGCAAACAAATATTCGAAAAATAGTCCCCAGAGTATTTTTGGACTATTTTTTTATTATTCTTGGGGTATTTTTTATTTTTCGTCCAAAATCCCCCTGTAGGGGGACAGGCCCGACATAAGCGTTGCCCCGCTTGCGCGCGAGGCTGGCGCGCTTGCCGTGCAGGGTCGCGCGCGCGCGTGGCTCTCGGAGTGCGTGGGCGTGGTTTGCATAGGGGGCCACACGCGAACCCGACCCCTACCCCCCACGGTTTCTCAGAGGGAGAGGGTGGGGTTCACTTCGCTCGAGAGCTCCCAAACGAAATGAACCCCATCCTCCCCCTCAGAAATCGTGGGGGGGGTAGGGGTAGGGTTCGCATGTGGTCCCCTAGGTTTGCAGGAGCCCGCGCATTTCTTGCTGGGCCATCTATGGGTAAACTTGTTAGGGCCATCAGTCGTTGAAGCCCCGCTTGCCCCCGCCTGCCCATCCGGCTAAAATTCCGGTGTTGGCTCGTCGCGAGAAGGGGGATTTCGGCTGCTCCTCCCTCCTGTCCTTCATCACTTCTCCTCACCCTCCCTGTGCTTCATATTCCCGTCTTCCTCCTCATCTTGCGCATTGTCCTCGCGTGTCCTCCTCGTCCACTCAAGCGAATTGGTAACGCTGTCTGAGTAGATGCCTTTGTCTCAGGTGTCAGCTTCTGGCAGGTGGTTCGGTCATATAAGAGGGCTGCGGGGCAGAAGATTCGTAATTCTTGTCAGGCCGATGGGGGCAGCTTCCCTCATGCGGACTCCGACGTGGAGCCATCTGAAGCACGCGAGGGCATTGTACGAAAACATCCCGAACAAATCCCGAAATTCACCTGGTAACAGCTAGGAAACAATCCGAAACACAGCCCGACGCAAATCCGAAAACAACCCGAACACAATCCGAAAGCAACCCGACAACATCCCGAGAGCATCGTGATGGTACCGTGCGCCGGGCGGTGGTCGGACGGGAATCGAAACAATCACGACGCCAAGCAACTGCTAAACCAAAACAGGTCGGGCAGAGGTCGACGGTAATCGAAACGTGCCGACGGGGATTGAAACATCGCGAACACAACGCGAACACAACTCGAACACAATCCGAGCAAAACCCGAAGACTTCCCGAAACGCAGCCCGAACATTACCCGGGCACAGCCCGAAAGCAACCCGAACACAAGCCGAACACATCCCGAGAGCATCCAGAAAACATCCCGAAACAAATCCCGAGACACACGTGCTCGGCGCGTGCTCACTCCTCTTACTCCTCGCCCTCCCTCCTCGTACTCCCGGGCTGCCCCCTCCAAACTAGCGATCCCAAAGACGACCAACAAAGAGCTCCCCGCAAGGAACAAAGGAGAGATCAAACAAAAACGACCAGAGTAGAGATCCCCCACATGACCAAAGTACAGATGCCCAACATGACCAAAGTAGAGATCCCCCGAAGGACCAACGTAGACATCCCTAACATGGCCATACGTAGAGATTTCAATGCAATGCGCGCGCTCCCATTTCTGAAGTCACGCATGATGCACGCAGTCGCCCAGCCAGTGGTCAACGCTATTCGGCTCATGGCGTTCTGTGCTGAAGTCCAGTTTTGCTTCAACCCGCCTTCGCCCCTGCCATATGCAGTCCGTCCTGGCCTCGGAATCCTTGGAGCACCCCGCCCCTGCCATGTGCAGGCAGTCCACGGGAAAAGCCGTCGCTGTCATTGTGCCCGTCTTGTACGCTGCCCCATCCAAGGGGGTCCCGCTTTCGCCGCTTGGCTCCTCGCTCGTGCCGCGGCGGACAGGCGGGCGTTGGTCACCAGAGGCTCTGCCCGCGAGGCTGTGGTCATCGGCAGAGCAGCGGCCCGTCCGGCACGCGTCACCGGCAGCTCGGCGTGCGGTTGCACCTGCTCTGCGCGTTGTGCTCTCTTGGACGGTCTTCTCGTTCGCGCGGCTGCGAATCGGGGGGGCGCGGCTACCGCGGGCACCGTCCGTCGGGGCCGCGGCGGGGACTGGACGCACAAGGTTGAGGGTTCTTTGGTCTCGGCCGTGCGACCTCACGCTCTCGAGGGGGGCCCTCCTGGAGCCCTTCCTGGATCCTCTTCGGGCTCTCAGCGCGGCCTCGGAGGGCTCCCGGAGGGCTCCAGTAGCAGTGCAAGTTCAGTCACGCAAGGGGGCGCTCGCGTGACGACGACGATGAGTATGATCGAATGGCCTTCGGCCCATCCCGCCACCCTGCATGGGTTGTGGGTCTGAGGCTTCGTGGACGTTTGTCGGGATCTCTTTCGAGACCTTTCGGGGGCCCCTTGGAGGCAATGTTGAGGCATCTGGGGGCCCGTTTTTGGGTCTCTTGGGGGCCTCTGGAGCCGCCTGGGAGCCTCTTGGGCGCCTCTTGGGGCCTCCTGAGGCCCGTTAGAGGCGGAAGCCTCGAAGTTTCCGTTCGTGGTTCCCCTCTTGGGCCTCTTTTTGGACGATGTTTGGGCCGTCTTGGCCCGTCTACGGAGCCCTCTTGGGTCGTGGTGGGGGCCTTTGGGGGGCCTCTTTGGCCGTGTTGGGGCGATCAGAGGAGCTTCTTGAGCCGTCTGGCAGCGTCGGGACGCGAAAACGCGAGAACCCCACAATTTTCAGAGACCTGGGGCACATCAGCGATTTGGGCCTCAGGGGGCGTCTTGGCGGCCTCTTGGGCCGTCTCAGGGCCATCTTGGGCGTTTCGGAGCGGTCGTTCGGGCCCTCTTGGACCGTCTTGGAGGCCTCTTGCGGCGCTCTTGGCCCGTCCCATGGGCCCCTTCAGAGCCTTCAGGGGCGAAAATTGAGGCTTGAAGGGCCTGGGGACGCCCAATCCGTGCCGATGGACATGTTTGCGGACGATGGTGATTATGGCGACGATGATGGTGACGATGACGATGATGTTGGTATTGATGATTATGGTGTTGATGACGATGCGGATGTTGATGTTGATTCGGGCGATAGGTTCTGAAGATGGTGATGATGTTCATGACGAGCATCACGATGTTCTGAATGGAGTCGGTGGCTATGATGGTGATGATCATGATCTTGACAGTGATAATGATTATGATTTCTTTTGCTCTTCGATCCGGCGACCGCACTCGCTGGTAGAACCACCCCTCGACATGCGCTAGAATGTGGGTGCGCGCTAAGCTCGCGCACTGGTTCTAGTATACATGCATGTGATTCATGTGGATGTCCCGATGCGTCCACTCGCTAGTCGAATTGTGCGTCCAGTGTCAACCAAGGGAATTCTCTGCGACTGTGGAGCGCGCTTCCCCTCCTGCAGTTCTTGCCGCCAACCCACCACAGCACGCGCACCGCTGCAGCCTGGGCGCACCTGGGGGAGCCTGCGTCCGCGCCGGCTGTGGCTGCGGAGGGCCAGAGGGGGGGAAGGAAGAGGACAGGGATCGTCGTCGTCGTTGTCGCTGGTATTCTTGCTGACGTTGTCGTCGTGATCGTTGATCTCGTTGTGCATGCTATGATTGTGATCTTTGCTATCGATGGTATCGTTGCTCTCGTTGTCCTCGTTGTCGCTGTTGTCGTCGACGACGAGAGAAGGACGAGGGGCCGGAGGCGCCCGCGCGCGGCCCCTGATCCGGCCAGGACGGAGAGGCGCTGCTGAGCAGGTGGACGCGCGAGCGTGCCCTCGAGAGTGCGCAGCGGAGCGGAGGCGCCGCCGTTTAGTCTTTGGCCCGCCCGTCTTTCGTCAGAGCCCCGAATCATCAGGGGTAACTCGGGTCAGGGTTAACTCGGGTTCGTTTTTCGGGAATCCGAACCCGAGTTACCCTGGGCCCGAGTTACCCCGGATAATTCGGGCGTCCAGAGCCCCACATCATCATGGGTAACTCGGGTCAGGGCTAACTCGGGTTTCCTTTTTCGGGAATCCAAACCCGAGTTACCCCGGACCCGAGTTACCCCGGATAACTCGGGCGCCCAATTTCGAGGAAGCGCAAGCATGGATTCAGGAGCGTGGATTCGCGACGGGTCCCGCTTCTGTGCAGCATGGGCGCCCTCCGTCGCCAGATCTGGCGGTCTGGGCGCAATGCTTCGGGGTGCATTACAGTCGGGGCCCTGAAGAAGGAACCCTTTTCGTTGGGGAGGGGCTCCGTGTTCCTTAGTTGTTTCACAGCTTGCCTCAGGCTTTCCTTATGTTTTCGACAGGAAATCGAAGGTTAACTTATGGAGAATGGGGCCTCGTTCCTTATTTAGGGTTCCTTAGGTCAACGCCCCGACTGTATCCCGTTGCATGGATCTGGCGCTGGCGCGCCAGATCCACGAACCCTCAGTCCATGTCAGCGTCTGCTCGATTCCGTCGGGGAGCACACTACCGCCAAAGCACGTGGTCAGGATGAGCGCCACTCTCCGAGTCTGACCTTGCATCCTTGCCCCTCCAGCCCGTCCTCGGCGTCCTTCGCCGGCCAGCCTCGTCCGCAAAACGTTGCCATGGCCCTCCCAGGCCCTTGCACCCCTACCGCGCATCCTTACTATTCGGGGGTGGACAGACCTCCTACCCCGACGCGTCGATTGAGGAATTGGCCGTTCTCGGTTCGCGAGGGGGCGTCGCGGCCGTCACTGTTGCGGGTCCAGGTTCGTCGGTCTCGGTCCCAGGCCGTTCTCGTCAAAGGAAGAGCTTGCGAAAGGGAGGTCTGTCCACCGCCGCGCAGCCTTACGAAAAGGGGAGGCTTACGAAAGGGGAGGTTCACGAGATGGAGGTATACTTGCATCCTTACCGCGCCTCCTTCCTGTACGCCTCGCTGTATATGTACACGGCGTAGACATTACGGAGCGGAGGACCCCCCGCTGCGTAGACACGGCTGGTCTTGGGGGCGGGGAGAACAATGAGGAGGGGGAGGAGGAGGAGGAGGAGGAGGAGGAGGAGGAGGAGGAGGAGGAATGAGGAGGAGGAAAGAGGAGGAGGAGGAGGAAGAGGAGGTCGGAGGTCCTCGCGGACATCTCCCGGAGCGGCGGTGGAGGAGCCCCCCGTCTGCGGCGCCCTCGGGCGCCGCCCGGCTGGGCGCGCTCACGCCCAGCCGGGCAGGGGCGCCCAGCGCCGATCCTCACCGGCCTCGAACCTATCCCTATCCCTAAGATTTCGGGCGAAGAGAGCTATGCACATGCACCGATCCTGGCAAGGACCATCTTTGACCCAGGATCGGTGCATATGCCTTCCTGGCCAAGGTAGGAGGGCGTATGCACCGATCCTGGGCTCAGGATGGGCCTGGCCAGAATCGGTGTATGTGCATAGTTTTTTTTCCTCTAAGATTGACACGCCAAAAGGAGATGGCCATCTCAGGGATGCACCCTCCGAAGCGGAGGAATTCCCCAAGATCGCCGTCGTGAGGAGGCGATGCCCAACATAGGGATGGGGATGTGTTCCAGGCTGGCAAGATCCAAGAAATCGGCGCGGACCCCCAGCAGTTTCTTGTCGTGTCATTGCTCTTCCGTTGTTGCTGCGGATGTCTTCGTGCCGTTCATGATTTCGTCTGTGGAACGAGCGCGCTCCACTGCTCGCAGAGTGCTCCCTCGCACACGTCCGACAGAAAGCACGCATGCTTGCTCGATCGTGGTGGATCGTAGGTCCCCCGCGGCGGACACCAGGCCATGTGCAAGTAATTACTCTTTGCGAACAGTTGCTCGACGAGTCGTGGAACGCGCTTGTCTATGGGCCGCGCGTTCGCGCCATTCCTTTGCGCCTGCCGGACCTCCTTTGGGCCTCCGGTTCTCCCTTCCTGACGATTCGGCCTCCATCCTCACCCACCATCCCACCGCCCACGTGTTCATCCAGTTGCTGCCGAGTCTCGCTGCGGCATCTATTGGCAGCGCCGCTGCCACCGCGCTCTCCCTCTTTCTCTCTTTCGCACTCTCCCCCTCTCTCTCTGTCTCTCTCGTTGTTACTTGTTTGTTTGTTTGTTTGGTTGTTTGTGTTTTTGTTTGTTTGTTGTTTGTTGTTTCTAATACTCTATCGGTCTTTCCTTATACATATTTCTCGTTTCCGGTATCTTTATTTCGCTTCTTCACATGCTTGTGTGTACGTATGTTCATATATAGTGATATGTATATATCAACATCACACACGTGCATCTCATATACAGCGATCCAATTTCAAACATACATATACGTGTATGAATATATTTATATGTGTTTATACATCTACATATGTCGATTTGGATCTGGTCTACCCCACCACCCCTGCTACAATGTCAAATGGTTTTGTGCCGTGGGCCTTCGACTCGCTGCCGTTTCGTCAACGTGTTTTCGTGTGTTGATGGGATCGGCCAGGACCTCTGTGCACATTCATACACATTCGACCGGGGCTTCAGATGGGCCCCCTCCCAGTCCTGTGATGATGATGGTGTGGCGTGGTGGAAGGGGGAGGGGCCGGGCCCAATTTTCCGGGCGAACGGCCCTATTGCATGCAGTTGTGAGCACCGCATTGTCGCAACGAATTCGGTGCAGCTCCCTCTGATGCCACACATCGTGTGAGGAGTGTGCCGAATCGGCAGGGAACCGCATGCGAATTTGCCACTGGGGCTCCTTATGGGGCCACGGAACGTGAGCGGGGGGGTGTGTTGACTGGGCAGGGAGACGCATGCGAACGTTGCAACTTGGGCCTTCGGTAGAGCTAGCTCATTGTGGAGCCACGAGACGTGCGATGGGTGTGCCGAAATGGATTTGTGAAGGGCAGAGGCAGGGATGTTTTTGTTGGATTGCGCTCTGATTCGCCGAGAAAACGCGGTACCTAGCAGCACGGGCGCCAAGGTTTGGTGAATCTCCCCGGCAGGGATGGGAGGAGGGAGGAGGGGGAGGTGGGAGGAGGAGGAACGCGGGGCGCTGTCACTTCAAAACGAGGACCCAAAAACAAAGGACGATTCGACAAATTATGACACACGCAAGCATTGAAACCGAGTTTGTTGCGTCTGATTGTTTGTGTGCACCCCCTTGTAACTGGGAACTTCTAGTACGAATGCCTTTGTTACGGATCCCTTCTAGCAAGAAACCCCGGAACCCTTAACAAATGCTTGAAGTAGCAATTCTCTCCGTTTGGGTCCTTGCCGTAAGTGGTACCTAGTAAGGACCTTTCAGTAAAGAGACGTTGTTGTGAGGACGCTTTTGTGCGGATGCTTTCCTTGCATATCCCTTCGTATTGATGCCTTTCGCATTGAACCTTTGATCAGGATTTCTTGGGGCAGGAATCCTGGGTAAATAACCGTTTACTACGGAGCATTTAGTAAGGATGCCTGTGTCACGGCACCCTTCTTCATAAGGCTCGGTTTATTTAGGGTTCATAGGTGAGGATGCTTGTGGTAAGGGTTCTCTCAGTAAGGGGCCCCGTAGGAAGGATTTCCCAGCAGGGGTTCATGTAGTCTGGAGTCGTCAGCACAGGTGCCTTACCGAGGTTTTCTGTAGTAAGCGGCCCTCCGTATGGTTTCTTCCCGTACGCGATCATCAGTACAGATTCTTTTCTAGTCAGGAGTCCTTATCAACGATCCTTTTCGTTATGTGTCCGAACAAAAAAGGGTTCCTGTAGTGATGGGCCCTTGATAAGAATGCCTTCCAGTAAGGAGTCCTTGATAAGCCTTCGACCCCTCAGGAAGAATTCCTGTCAAAGGATGCTTGTATTACGGATTCCTTAGTAAGTGCGCTTTTTCCGCAAGGATCCTTAGGCGACCGTGCCTTTCGAGGGAGGTTATTCGTTAGGACTTGTGTGTGAGACATCCCGTGCAAACGCATAAGTTGTATGGAATATGTATGAAGGATTTCTTTAGTAGTGGGTCATGAGGAAGGGCACCATTAGCACAGATATCCTTCGTCAGGGCGCGACCAGTTCCAGCTATTCGAAAGAATGCGTTGTCTACGAAGGATAATTTGGTAACGACGCTGTGGGTAATATGTTTTGATTACGGCGTCAGTACTTCAATCGCATCCTGTAGTAATGAGTGCTTGATACTGATGCTGTTAGTGAGGATTCTTGGGACCCCGTCAGGAAGGGTTCTTTTGCAAGGATGATTGCGTTACGAATTCCATAGTAGGATGGTTTAGTAAGGATTCCTTAGCAAGGATGCCGTTCGAGAGGGATCCTCTGGCGCGACTTCTTTTTTTGTCAAGAACCCTTGGCAAGCACGCAAGTTGCAGGGAGTCCTGATCGAGAATTTTCTCCTGAGTCCTTCTTGAGGACTTCTTGCAGTAAGGGATCATCAGTGCAATTGTGCCTTTAGTAAGGGCTCCGTGATACGGATGACTTCTTGTATGAAGAATTCCTTCGTGAGGGCACCTTTAGCCAGGATTCCTAGGTAAAGACGCCGTTTGTAAGCCTTCCCCAGTAAGGATGTCTTCATGAAGGACTCCCTCAGTAAGGGCCTGCTTGGTAAGGATACCTTAGTAATGCTTCCTGTAGCCCGGGTTCCCTAGTGAGGGTGCTTTCTGTAAGCGTAGCAAGGCTTCCTCAAAACATATTCAGTTACAGACGGATCTTGCGGCGGTGGCCACCCGACGACGCCAGCGAAGGCGTTCAAGGTTCCATTCTGCGACGCGGAAGCACCGAGGGACACGGGGACGCTACCAGACCCGACGAACTCAATTCTGAACGAATTGGGCCGCGACGGGTTCAGGGTCCAACGATAGGCGCGGTGCCCGAAAACCTTCGTCGCGCGCGCCGACGCCGCACGAACCTCCCGCGGGAGGCCCCGTGGAGTTACGCATCGCAGCAACAGGCTGCCACCCCAGAGATCCGACGTCGTGATTGTTTCAATACGGGGCCCCCGGAAGTCTCGACCCATTCCCCGGGACCGGCTTCCCATCCTGAGTCGTTTTCTGACGGTCCCGAGGCCCGGCGAGGGCCCCTGGGGGCCAAAATCTGCGAAAAACCTCCGTCTTGATTTTGTCCAATGCTCTGGATCTCGGGACAGCACGTTCTCCCGGCTCTCTCCTCGGAGCGACGCCGGAGGCGCCCGCGCAGGGCGAGCCCGCGAGCGCTCCTCGCAGCACGGGAACCCCGGCAGCAGCGAGAAAAAAACAATCCCCCTCCTTCTCCTCCTCCTCCTCCTCCTCCTCCTCCTCCTCCTCCTCCTCCTCCTCCTCCTCCTCCTCCTCCCCCTCCTCCCCCTGAGGATGCTGCTGGCGCTACATCGTTGACGAATGGTGCTGGCTTGAGTTCTCTGAGTGGTAATGCTGACGGCCTTCCAAACCCTCGACCTCCTGAGGATACTGTTCGCCCTGAGCTCTCCCGAGGCCCTTCGGGTGAACACCCTGGTGCTGGCATGAGTTCTCTGAGTGGTAATGTTCCTCCTGCTGTTCGCGCTGCTGCTGAACGTCCTCCTGAGGATGATGCGGAGCGAGATGCGCGTCGGCGGGCCCTCGTACTACGGCTGTTGGCAGCAGCTTCCAGTGGTGTTGAGAATACGTCGCCTCCGACCCAGACGTCACTGTCGGTTTGATCAGGCCATGACGCCCAGCCTTCTAGTAATTCAGGGGCCCGACCGCTTGCCAGGTTTTCGGTTTCGTCTGGGATCGATCGCTCGGTCGGGCCCCCGCGCCCCCCTCCTTCTCGGAGTCGCCCGCCTGCTCCCCCTCCCTCCGCCTTCCTGGGTAGTGCTCGTTATCTGGAGCTTGCACGTCGTGGCTCACTCTCCTCCCCCTCGGAACTCTCTGGGGTGGTGCCTGGGGCCTCTGCGGCTTCGCTTTCGGCACCCGCCGAGGGCAGTGAACTCTTTGCCCTAAGGGGAGTGCGCTCGACGAGGGTAGAATCTTTGTCTCCAAGGCGCGCGCGAAGCCCGTGACGCGGAGGGGAAAGGGTGCAGGTCGAGGGCGACCTGCGTAGTTGTCTTGCTGTGAGGGCTTTGTAAAGGGGATGGTGCCATGAGACGCCCACGGGAGTGTGCCTCCTCAGGGGCCGTCTCCAGGCTTGAGCGCCCCCCCGCCGACAGGGCTCCCTCTCAGTGACAAGTCGCTTTCATTAGCCACTTAGATCCAGATCTTTGTTTTGTCTCGTAGCACAGACAGACTTTGGGTTCGATCGTTCTTTGCTTTGCCCCTCCTCCCCCTCCTCCTCCTCCTCCTCCTCCTCCCCCTCCTCCTCCTCCTCCTCCTCCTCCTCCTCCTCCTCCTCCTCCTCGCAGACCTCGCAGACCAGAGCGCGCCTGGATGCACAGCCTGGGGGGTCAAGTTCTGAGTTTGCCCTGGTCCGAAAAGTCCGGCCTCATCCGGCTCCGTCCCGATCGAATCTGGCCTCGTCCCGCTGAAGCCGGCTCGATCCCAGGTAATCCGCGGCCTACCCCGACGCAGCCGCTCCCCAACTGGGCCTCATCTTTTGCAATACTTCCGACGGAGTCCTGTTGCCTTCCAAGGGTGCGGGCCTTTTGGACGCCATTTTCGGCGCCTTGGGTGGCGGATGAAGCACCTACAGTCATCGACCTGACCTAAGGAACGGTAAATATGGAACGAAGTTCCTTTTTTTATTCAAGGAATTACGCATAAGGAACGATAAATAATACATAACGCATAAGGAACTGTAAATAACGCATGCAAGCCTAAGGAACGACCGAGCCCCTTTTGAAAGGTAAGTGTTCCTTATTCAAGCCGCTCACTGTATGTTTTATTTGCCGGTTGGCGGGCAGGATCGGCCGAGACCCATTGGGAACCTTGGGGAAGGGTTGAAGACAGTGTCGAGAAATTGACACGACGTGCGCCCTTGAGATCGTTAGCCAGCGCGCGCCTGGAAGCGCGCCTGGGAGCGTGCCGGGAGCGCCCGGGAGCGCCTGGAAGCGCCTGCGAGCGCTTGGGAGCGCTTGGGCGCGCTTGGAAGCGCCTGGGAGCGCTTGGGAGCGCCTGGAAGCGCTTGGGAACGCCTGGGAGCGCCTGGGAGCGCCTGGGAACGCTGGGGCCCATCCCGCCATTGTGCCACCGTGGCCTGGGTCGTGGGCGAGAGTCCTCTTGGATCGCTCGTGGGGATCTCTGGGGAGGCCTCTTGGGTGCCTCTTGGAGGCGGTTGTGGGGGTGTCTTGGGGCCTCTTGGGTGCATCTTGGTGCCGAATTGGGGCCTCTTGGGGGCCTCCGGGGGCTTTCTGGGGCCTCTGGGGGCCTGCTGGCGGTATCAGGGTCATATTGGGGTGGAGGGCGCGACATGTCAGTTTGAGTTGCCCCTCTTGGGGACCTATTGGGGCCGTGTTGGGCGCCTCTCGGGTCGTCTTGTCTGAGGCCCTCTTGGGGGCCGTCTTGGGCAGATTTTTGGGCCTCCAGGGCCGTCATGAAATGTCGCAAGCACGAAAACTGGAGATTGCCCCAATCTTTGAAACACATGAGGCAGTTCGGTGCCATTTTCTTGACACAACTGCTAGCCATCGAACACACGGCCTGGGATATATGCATCTTCATCCCGGTGCCGACGATAACCCTAAAGGGCTCTCAATATTTGCTCGATGCGATGCAGAAGGTAATGAACCCGACGGCAGCCAAGTCGAGATCGCACCATGTGGCGGGATCGCAGAAGATGACGGCCGCATGCATCGCCTCCTTGCTCCCCGCCTCCATCTTGACCTCTCTCTCACATACCCCTCCTATTGTTCCTCCCCTTCCTCCTCGTCCAGGCTCCGCATACCAGACGCCGCAGCACGGCGCCCACTTCCAGACGCCGCGGTACAGCGACAGCACGGCCGCCGAACGTTCCCCACGAGGGAAGAGGAGAGGAGAGGAAGGGAGGACATGTGAGGAAGAGAAGGAGGACGAGGAAGGTGAGGACCCGAGTAATGATCAGAGTTGACAAGATGCGTCAGCAATGCTGCAATACATCCTCCCGTACCAAGTCCCCTCCCCATAAGTCTTTACACGCCGTCTTCATCAATATCCCGCAGTTGCGGATAAGAGTGAAGGGGCGGCGGATTCGTCGGCAGTCTGCGAGGCTTCGGATAGGCCCGCCGCAGGCGCTGATTTTGTTTAGCCGCCGATTCTTCTGTCAAAGTAATGTGGGTGGGTCGCGGGCGGGTCGCGGGGTGGGTCGCGGATGGGTCGCGGCAGTCCCGGGTTGTCGCGGGTGGGTCGCGGGGCGAGTCGCGGGTGGGTTTATGGTGGGTCGCGGGTGGGTCGCGGGCCAGGTCGCTGGCGGGACGACAAGAAACAACAATCAACAAAAAACATAACAACAACAACAACAACAACAATCATTTTAAGATTGCTCGTTCTTTTCTGCTCGCGTGCCACTCAACACGTATATGCCAAGCCCTCGATACCCGCCTTCTTCATTTTCGCTCGTACCCCCCGGGGGTATACCTTCCACACCTGCCAGGGAAGAGAGGACGGATGGAAGGAAGGGACAAGGGGGGGGGAGGATGGAGCACGAGAGAAAATAGCAGGAGGGGGGCAAGGAGCAGAAAACATGTGTCAGAACCAGACGGGCTGATCGGGCGGATAGATCCTAACGGGCGCGTCGCAAAGATTAGCCCCGGTGGCCAGGTCGAGCAGGCGGGTTGCTGAAGTATGAGTTCTGCATTGAATCGCGAGGCCGTCTCGAGTGAGAGCGTGACCCTTACAGAAATCGTGAGGAATTCCCTAGCGAAAGCGTGATTCCTGAATGTCGATGGCGGGGCATCTGAATCAATTGCGAGGGCGTCCCACGTGAGAGGTGCGATTCCAGTACATATTGTGAGCAGGTCCCGCGCGAGAGCGCGATTTGGGAACACATTGTGGGAAGCTGCCAGGCGGGAGCCGTTGTTGTTGTAAACCAGGGGCCAGGGCTTAGTGGGCCCTGGAAACGACAGGGTTGTTTTTGTTACCGATTCCGTTTTGCCGTTTTTTTGTTGTTGGTTCCGTCGCCGTTTTTTGACCGGTTCCGGCTCCGGTTCCAATCTTGGAGCCGTTTTTTTGCCGTTTCCGGTCGCCGTTTTTTTGCCGCTTGCACTTTCAAGGGACATTTTTTTGGAAACGGTTGGAAAAACGGCCCTGCCGTTTCCGGGGCCCGCAAAGGGCCAGGGACACCTTCGGATGACACCGCTCTTCCCTGGTAGAAGAAAAGCTGCAATGAATAAAAGGGAGGGGATAGCAACAATAATTCTTCTGTCCACGTGGGAATTCAACAACAACACCAACAACAATCCGCGCCGCGGAACTCCACTTTAGCCCCGCGCCCAGGGACAGTGAACGACCGTTCGGCCCCGTCGCTCTGACAAGAAGTGCCCCCTTGAAAGACCAACACGCGTACCATTCAGGAGATCTCCCCCGTCAGCCCCGTTCCAAGCATGGAATGGTGGGCATATCTGTAGTGCACAAGCAGGGGTGCGAAACTGAGTTGTCAGACAGGCGAGGTCTTCAGCGATATCCCAATTTCACACTCTCGCGCGGGACTTCTTCACAATGTATGCAAGCGCGCTCTCGCGTGGGACTCTCGCAATTGATTCAGACGCCGCGCCCTCGAAACGGGATTCACTAGCGATTTATTGGAAATCGCGCTATCGCTGGAGACGTCCTCTCGATGCATGCAGGACTCACGCTTCAGCAACCCGCCTGCCCGTTAGGGTCGACCCACCCGATCAGCTCGTCTGGTTCTGCAACGTGTTTTCTGCGCCTTGCTCCCCTCCTGC